AATAGACATTCGGTGAATTTTTGTCGGTGAAATGTTATGTCTACGAAACTAGCGTCGGTGAAGTGATACGTATCCTATTATTCAACAGCTTACTAGAATTTAAATGCCAATAATTTTATTATTTGGCAGATAATGTAAATCACTTTTAACGGTCATCTTTATATAAATACTATTTATTTCCCGCACAGACGAGAAATAAATAGTACTTAAACTCAATAATTTGCTGAACAGGTAAGTTTTTGCTTGCATCACAATTCTTTACTTATTACTTATTATTCGAAATGATAAGAAATAATTGTTGAAAACAATAAATAATAATCCATCTCTAGTTAATTATAAATAAATAAAAATACTGATCTTTAGCTTTATTTGTCGCATTTTTAACCGATCACTCACACAGATTAGTATTATAAACACTACGAAGAAAACTTTTCAATTTACTAATTTCATTTTTCAATTCACTAATTTCATTTTTCAATTTACTATTTTCATTTTCTAATTGCTTGTTATTCTTTGGCTGTCCATTTTCTAATTGCTCGTTATTCTTTGGCTGTCCATTTTCAGATTGCTTGTTATTCTTTGGCTGTCCATTTTCTAATTGCTCGTTAATCTCTGGCTGTCTATTTTCAGATTGCTTGTTATTCTTTGGCTGTCCATTTTTTAATTGCTTTAATTGCTTTGGTCGTTTAAGTACATTTTTATGCCTTTCGTCTATTGAATCTTGTAAACATAAGAATCGTATATATCCCCATGGCCTCATGGTTCTAAGGCCTAAAAATAATAAATTTATATAAAAATAAATATTACTGTCTAACATGATAATAAATAATATATAGTATTACCAAATAGAATTACATCTAGTGATAGCAATGCTCTAGCTATAGCTAATGCATTTGAAATAACAGATAAAGCCTAATATAAACCAGCAAGATTAATAGTTTGATTATAATAATAACAATAAAATAAAAATATTTACACTTTTATTTCTCTGTTCTTTCTGTGTCTCAACCACAAAATTATAAGATCAATCATAAATCCAGATACGGCCGCCATAAAGTATGTTTCATTTCTAGTTGTTGGATCTAGATAAATTGTTATTTGATAAATAGTTTATTGTGATATTTCTATTAAATAATGATTTTGATATACAAATAATTGTTGAAATATGCGCTTGTGTATCATATTTTGGTGATAATCCAAAATTATCTCAAAGAGAGGGTACAATTAGGCTGGTTACTCGTCTTGTCATTCAAATATGATAAGTCTAAAAATATAAAAGTTACTGTAATATGTAATTTTAAATATTGCACCATATTATTAATGTATGGCATTATTTACAATATTGCGGCCCAAGAAAAATCTATTTGTCCAGAAGCTCGATGTAATAAAAGGGGTTAATTGCAAAACATATGTATTATCATCAAATGCTTTATGCATTTCGTCTGCCATTGTTTTATTTACTGAGTCAAATATATTAATGGTAAAAACAGAATGGTCACCATTTACAATGGTATCATTGTGAATACTGAATTTAAAGAGTATTCTCTTTAACTGGGTTTCCGTTTGGCCAATGGGAAAGGTGAGATCTTTTGGATCAAACTTTCCTGTATATAGGCCATTATTATTTTGTTGAGGTTGAATAAGATAGTTTGAGCAGTTGTTTAAGGTATGATTCCTATCTAAGAATAAATAAATATAAACAAATGTGGTTTTTTGAACTATGTATTGGTACATTTTGTGCATCTTAGGATTAAAGTTTAGTACCAGCACTATTAGAATAAATTATTTACCACGATTTACAGGCATTAATACTAACAATATGATTATGGACAGCTCTACAGTGCAGTATACATGGTATTTTAAAGTTAATATTAGTATAGGCCCATAAGCGCTGTCCTAAATTTGACGATATAATTAATAGTTATCAGGGAGTGTTCATTGATCATGTTACTCATATTAATTATGTAAATTATTGTTATTTCATATAAAGATTAGTTTATTGATTATGTGGT